AGGTCCTTTCCAACACAAACCGTTTTATGATTCTGTGACAGGGTACGTGTGGGGCTGTGGTAGTTGAAACTATGGGTTTGGTTTCCCGGCAGCTTCTATGCATATGTAGGAAAATAAGCTAAATGTGATTCCTGTTGTAGCTGTGCAGAGGGCAATGCAGTCCCTCAAAGAGCAGAACAGATTGAAACGGCTGGGGAGACCTTCTGAGTTCAGTCCAAGGGAGAGGCATTTCAGCCAGGAGTCCTCTGTTCCCAGAGCTCTAAAGCACCAGGACACTGGAGATAGGAGGAGGTGGCCAGCATCAGGCCTGGCTGTGTTTGGAAGGAGGTGACCATGCTGCTGCTCTGATTTCTGCCGAAAGTTGCATTGGGTCAAGACAAGATTCTGGCGATGTGCACATGGGACTGGTGTGCCAGCAGTGTGAGGGAGGGAAATGGTGCAATCAGGCTTTGGTAGGACTGCTTTGTGGCAGGAGCCAAGTGCATGAGTGCATATACATGCTGCCGAAGGAGAATACGGGGTGGAGGCATTAGGCATAGGGTGGAAGAAGTTGGAGCCATGTTGTGTGATCCAAAAGAGAGGTTCCTTGCTCTTTGAGAGGCTGGCCATCAGGCAGCAGGCAGCATTCCCCCTTGCCCTAGCAGGGAATTTTAGTCTTGCCTCTCACTCCTGCTGTTTCTGTCACAGGTGCTGCCAGTTTTTACAGTGAAGAAAATACTGTTAGCAGGCTGACATGGCAACCTCATGCTTCCTATATTATGTCTTACGTAAATCTGTGCACCCACAACAGAAACAACAGAAGTTGATCTCAGTGAGGAGCTTCCCATTAGAAACATGGAGGACGGACATGCAGAAAACCTCACCTCTGCACAGGTCTCATTCTGGGCTGAATGTCCAGCTAGATCTCACAACATTTGGTTTTGGCACTTACACCAGCCTTCACTCACAGTTCCTTTGTTTCCCTGTGCACGCAGACCCACCTCCCTAACACAAACATCTCAGTGGTATTGGCAGTTCTTTGGCAGGCAGGAGCCTGGGTTCTGCTCTTGCTTCTCCATCCAATGAGAAAATGTATCTGCTGCTAAGAAGGCATTTTCTCTACAGCCTTTGTTATTTTCATTGAGAATGAAACAGCTTCTTTAAGAAAGGCAGAGATTGTTCAAATCAAGATGTCATCATGAATGGAACAATCTGAGAAAAAGGGATCTTCACGTGAGAAATAATTCCCCCTCTCCCTCCATAGAACTGGAACTTGACAAGGAATCTGGTGCTGTGGTCAGTAGATACCAGGCCATCAGCTGGGTAAATCAGTCCTGGTCCCTTGACAGGTTGTTTTTTACACTTCACTAGCACTGAATGTTTGTTTTTTGGATATAAATAATGCTAGCAACTTAGAATAGTGCTCAGTCAATGACTTTCCTCCTTGCCGGTTTGTGTTCTGGCTGGGCAGCAGCTCCACTTCAACAGAAAGAACAAATATAGCAAATATGTTGATTTGTTTAGGGCTTGGGCTTTTCTATTTTCTAAAATGATAACAGTAATAATAAAATTTAAAAAGCTGCAGCAGCAGAAAGATGGATTGGGCTGTAACTTGAGACTGAAGGAGGGGAAAGGCAGCAGCATCCAGAGCAGATCAGGGAAGTAAGAAAAAAAGGAGGAAGATAAGAGTGTTACCTTCCATACCTATTTATCCTTAGAGAGAAAGAACTGTTGCACTTGGAATGGTGCCTTTGTATCTGGAAGGCAGCAGTCTGGCACGTTGAGCTTTACTAAACTCGAGTTGCTATATCTGTTGAAAGTACAGGGATTTCTGTAGCCCAAAACCAACTTGGCAGTGAGAATGGGAATGATTTCCCCTGTGTTCTCCCCGGCTTGGAAAGGAGAGGTACAGCACAGATTTTGACTTATTCCTTGCACTTCTGTGACTAGTACTTTGTGGGAGCACTCCTTAAAAGTTGAGATGTGGCCAAAACATAATTCAGATTAAATGTTGAATGTCTGTGACATAGAAACCTTCAGCCAAACAGTATATACTTCTGTTGTACTTCAGATCGTAGTACCGCTTGAATACGTACATATAATATAAATACAAAATAGGTGATTAAAAGCAGTGTGGAGATTAAAAATCATGAATTACTGCAATAATTGAAATGACAATTGATTTCAAATAGTGATAGCATAGACAAAGTTTAAATAATTCTGGTCATTGACAAGTGGAAGTTGGACGTTTTGTTCTTGGGCTTAATTTGCTAGAATTTTTTTCAGTCATTTGACCATTTGGGTATTCAGTACCAGAGAAGTACTTTCAGAAATCTAAACCTGAACCAACTGTTTAGAAGTCCATATATACAGATATATTAAGAAGAAGATATGGCATAGAAGTGAGTGACCTAAGAAGGTCAGTTGCCACTCAATACCCAGAAAAGCCAGTATGATGGAAATCAGCACATTCACCTAATATGCTAACTACATTCCAGCCCTTCCAGAACACAAGAATCTCCAATCCTGAGTCTTCTGTGAAAAAGGTAAGGTCTGGAGATGGCACCTCTTGTACTTTGGTTTTCATGAACTTAGTGCTGACTAGACCATGATTAAGTTTGATAAAATTTATGTCCTCTCTCATCTCTGAAGTGCAGCAGAGCTTGGGGGTTTCTTTAGCCAGGCTGGAAGACTTAAAGAATCTGGCTATCCCCTCTAATTTATTCAGAGATTTTGGTGTCTCGTGGTGATTTATTATGGGTGTTAGGTGAGAAAAATTTGTCACAGACAAAATACGAATTTTGTAGAAAAGTCAAATTCAGCATAGTTTATAAATCTTAGGACTTCATAGCATGAAAATATCTTTCCATGGCACCTGGTGGCAAACTTTAAAAGAAAAGAGATAGTGTTATGTTTTTCTCAAACCATGTCACTTTAATTATTTGAAATGGTCTTTTCCCATGGCATAGTTATCCCAGGCATTCCTTTCTACTGCCTTTATCACAGGCAACATGCTCAGTGTTTGATGGGCCAGGCTAGAAGCGTGCTACATCAAACTGTACAGCAGTCACGGTTCCCACTAACAGCCGTTAAAAGAAAGATCTTACTTCAAAGAGGTGAAAAAAATTGTCTTTTAGTATAAAACTGTAACATGGGTGGATAGAAATACCTACGATTTAGCCTTATTTTCCATATTACTCCTTCTTAGTGATGCAGCTTGCAAAAGTAGCACAGAGGATGGTACTCTTGAGAGTTAGAGACCATTGTGGATGTAACTTTGAGACAACAAAGCGACTTTCCATAGCTAAAATTGTTGACTGTCTTGCTTCCTAAGTAATTTGCATGTTTATCTATGTTTGTGGATGTTTTTCCTGCACCCATTGCTGAAACTTGGTCCATTAAGGCTACTTAATCAGCTCCAGAATGAGTGCCAAGTAGACATTGCTGCAAGAGCTGTGCAAGGCAGAGATGCACTGCAGGGGCTTTGCAGATGTCTGCAGGGAGCTGAGCACTGTTTGTTCAGGCTGCAGAATCCATTCTCAAATGAAACACAGCTGAAGAAGCTGGGTGACACTGTATCCATAGGAATACTGAGACTGTTTTGACCCTGACTGTATAAGATTATTTTGAAGATAGCATGGGTCGAAATCATTAACTGTGCTCAAGCTGTGCTTGTAATACGCTCAAACTGAGCACATTAATTATGCTCAGAATGCAAGCAAGATGAAAGAAGGGATGCAGAGCTACTGACTAAATCTGCAGCTACAGGTCTGAATCTCTTATCAAATTCTGCCTAAGTGCCACTAGGTGCTTCAGGAATACAGTTGTCACAGCCACTTCCCAGCCCATTTGCATTCTTTGTAGATTTACCATTCACTGCTTGAGACAGTGAATATGTGTAGATGGAGCCGTACAAATACAGCACATATTTCTCTGGAAAGCTCATCATTTTGGTATTGCACTATGATATCAAGCCGAAAACCAATCAGAAAACTCAGTGCAGGATACCACTGTGAATAACACTACCAGATTTTCCACATCCTCCAGCAGGGATCAGTACAGAATCCTGTGTGCATCAATGGACAGGTGCAACATCTTTGTGTGGGCTGCAGTCTGTAAGATAGTGTCTGGAGGGCTGAGCTACCACAGTGGGGAGGAAGTGGAAGCAAGATTACATTTGCAGCTGGAGCAGAGGAGCAGGACAGCATGGGGAATAATGCTTCTTGCAGCAAATAAATAGGGAGGAGGGGGCTCAAGAAGGAACAAAAAGGCACATGGATGGCAATAGGCCATTTGGTTTAGTGAAAATGAGCACCTAGGCCATGATGTGTGGTGCATAGCTGTAACAGGGCAGCACTGCCTTCCTCTCAACATTTTCTCTTCTATTTCCTGGCTCTGCCATCAGAAGTGATGACAGGCAGGTCTAAAGCTCAGTCCCTCATGACCAACTACAGACTAAAGGAACTATTACTGCTTGTTTAAGTTGCTGCAAGCCTATTGCCTCCCAGCTTTTTGGTGTGGGCTTCTTGGGCTATGTTAGGGCTACTGCAATCCATGGAACAAGATGTGGGCCCTGCTAATCCAGCACAGCTTCTAAAGTAAGTAATTTATCTTAAATGAGGATATTGGTGAAATGTCAGTCTTAGCAAATTTGTTCCATGGAGCATGTCTTGAAATCTTGAATGCTTTTTGGGATAAACTATTTATCATTGTCTCATTTACGTGAAGCCATAGTGCCTTTCTGTGTGCTTGTATGTGTCTATTTGTTAGTATGTTAATTAGATAAATCTTGTACTCTTTGCTACTACACAAAAGTTTTCATCTGACTAAGTTTTAAGGGAGGTTTCATGCTAATAAATATGGGCTTCCTAACTCTCAACTTCACTCTAGGCAACCCAACTGAAGTAGATATCCTACATGATTCATCAGACTTATTTTTACAGGTGGGAAAGAAAAACATGAAAATTGTACAGAGCCATTAAGATGTACAATTCTCCAATTATTAATGCATTCAAGCAACATTCCCAGTTCTGTAAGTCATCAGTTTTATTTAAAAAATAGATTCCAAACATTGTTTTTGATAAGGTGCAACATATATGCTGTTTTCTACCATAATGAAAGAAAAAAAAATACAACAACGAAACAATATTCATAACTGTATTGTCATTCCAACACGGAATCCATGTGTCCTCTGTAATTCTTAAACATTCTTTTTCCGCTTCATCAAAGCATAAGAATTAAATAATTAGTGTCACTGTGACAGCCAAAGGATATGGCCAAAGCCATCCACGTCCTGCATTATAATAGTGAACCTTCTGGTACAGGTTGCTTCACGTACACATCAGAAGCTGAATATAACTGAACGCAGTTCATGCAAAACAAAGGTACAGCACTGAATTTGCATCATTCAAAGGTTTTTGCTCTCTTGTTTAGTTTGACATTATCAAAGTCCAACTGTTTGAACGTGAGGATTTCACAAGCTGCACAAACAAAGCGCTGTGCACTAATATGTATAAGTTTCAGATTCATCAGGCTATGTGACTATTATTTTGAATTGTATCAATTCAAACACTTAAGGCTGAGGTCTGTACCTCTTGGGGTCTACAGTGACTTCTGAGACGCATTTGAGAAAACAGATGGAAAATGGTAAATAATAGTGGGTTTGTTATGGGAGATTACCTAAGATTATTACATTAGAACTGTTTTTTTATTTCTTTCTTCCTTTCTTTCCTTTCTTTCCTTTCTTTCTTTCTTGAGAAAACCATGTAATTAATTTCTATTAGGAATGTTCATCATTCAGCCACTCAAGTTATATGAGCAATGAAAACTGTATCATGGAGGAAATTCAACAGGAGGTACAGCCAAATACCATCTCTGGAAGTTTTCTGATGAGCAAAGCCTCTCCTGTTTCAAAGTCTTCTTGCCTTTCTAGCCTTAACTCAGCCTTGATAATACCAAGCAGCTGAAGTTAGCTATTGCTATGCTGTTTCTGAACCCTGTTTCCCTGTCTTCTGTTTGAGTGGTGGTCGTAGAGTCAAAGCCGCAGTTCTTTCTGTTGGTGTTTCTTACAAACCATCATGATGGTTTTATGGAACTTGTTCTTAAGGCTACTCATATACAGCCCAGTAAGATGAGCTGAGAAAACATCACAGGGCTGTTCATTTTAGTGGATCAGGCCTGTGGGTATCATTGAGAATTGGCCTGTACATAGCCATGGGCTATGGGCTGAGTTTAAACAGATAGACTTGGGTTATCTATACCTAAATGAGTTTGTATTCGTGACCAGTTTAATCTTACCTGACTCAAAATCTTTCTTTCAAGAAACAATTTTTTTTCAGCATTGATGTATCCTCGTTCTTAGTAAATACTTGCTAGTGAATGCTCTTCAGAGTTAGCTCTGCTGTGGAATAAATGCTAATGGAGCATGGATTGAAATCTGCTTGGATAACACGGAAGTCTTTAAGACCTCCTTTTTTTCCTTGACATATGTGAAGCAGAGTTTGGTTTCAAATAGCAAATAAGTGAACTTATTTCTCTTGTCTTATGAGCAAAAGAGGTATTTAGCAGTGTTCAAGTGGGGAGAGTCTGCATACTTACTTCCCATATAAACATAAAAGGAGATGGAGAAAGTGTTCATCAAGCATATGTTAATGTTAGGAGCCGTAAAAGTGAAAAGTAAAACCCAGTCTTTCAGTTTTAATTGCAGAAAAAAAGTTGCCCCCAGAAGTTAGTCTATTTAGATTCTAGTAATTTGGAGCAGAACCTTACATTTGGGTTTAGTTTGGGGAAATCACTGATTTTTAAAATGAATTTTAAAATCCCTCTACAGATGATGCAATCCAGTTTTCATGAGATTTGTGGTTAACTTGGTTGCTTTTTTATGAGTTTCATTGATGATTGCTTCGTAGCAAAACAAAAGAAACAGCAACACTATGTTGCGTTTCCTATTTTCAGAAGGGTTACTCAGTCCCATGGTTTACGTTTAACAATATGCCTTTAATAATACATCATGCTGCAGATGTTCAGTTAACAAAAAGAATACACACTTCACTATTTATGGGATTTGGTCAGAGCTACATGTATTTATGTCAAGTCTGTTGCAAACACTATTGTTAAATGCTGTACTTGGCAAATTAAAACTGTCCCTTTCTTTCTCTTAAACAATTTGAGCCATACTTTATTTTATCTGAATGCAGCAGGACACCTGCCAGAAGGAAGCAGGGTCTCTGCAGATAAGAGTAGGAATTTGTAATTTTGGGCATCTAACTTAGGGTGCACCTGGCTAGTTGTCTCAATTCAGGGACACAGTGATCATGCCTTCAAGTTGGCTCAATAGTATGGCTTTTGTCTGGTTCTTCTGGCGTAATTTTCTCATCTCTGTCCTTGAAAACCTTTTGGGTGCAGTAGACTCGAGCTTCTGTTATCTGTATAATTTTAAGCAAAAATAGTAGAGGTTATAACTGCCTAAATTAATGGTTTGTTCAGAGATTTGAGCAGTCAGAAGGCCCTCCTGATGGAGATTCAGAGCATCTAAATAACCATCCACTCATTATCTTCAAGCTTACAAACCAAACGCTGGGCAGCATGGATTAGGTGTAACTGAGAGTAGAATTTGGTTGTCTATTACTGAAATCAGTAATGACTAAAGTGCTAGTGTGTTAACACAGAAAATGTTGACCCCATGTATCTCATACAGGACTAGAGCAAAGGTTTAAGAAAATGTAACATTTTTACCTGAGTGGCTTGGATGTCCCTATGTGGGGGTGTTAAATCATGTTTTCTTGCTACAAACACATAAACAATTAAAGCCTTTCTATTGTTGGCTACATCCTCAGTCCATTTGATCCCTTATCCCTTCCACAATGCAGTGGGGAGGGATTCTGCAGTCCCATGACTGGCAGATGCAGCATAAAGAACAAATATGCTACAGAATAAATGTCTGTGGTTGTTAAATTAACTAAAGCAATCTCTTGGCAGGTGCAGACAAGCGTCAAGAAAAGCCAGTGAAGGAAAGGAACTAAGAGGAGAATCAGGAATCAATGCAGAATTTCCAAATTCTGTGAAAAATGACAATTTCCCTTTACGCAAGAAGTGACAGGTGAAGTATTCAATCTCTTGTCACCAGCACTGATTAGAGCTGGATACCATTCTCCCTTTTGTGTCTTTTAAAATTCCTTCGCTTGCTTTCATGCTTTTTTCTACTGTCACAGCAAACCACATAATACTAAGTATTACAGTATCTGTACCCAAAATTGCATAGAGAAATAGGAAATCACACACACACAATGGTTGAGGTTGGGAGGGACCTCAAAGGTCACCTATTCCAATCCCCCTGCTCAAGCACATTGCACAAGATCACATCCAAGGTGGGTTTTGAATATCTTCAAAGAAAGGAGACTTCACAGCCTTTCTGAGCAAGCTGTGCCAGTGCTCCATCACCCTCACAGTAAAGAAGTTTTTCCTCATGCTTCTTAGAAATAAGTCACATTTTCACATTAATAAAGAAAAGCTGATTGACAGAAATATTGAACTGTATACTTATAAACTGTATAGGTATATAAATTGTAAAATTCAAAGGACTAAAGAGGGGAGCAGCAGCCGCTATATTTTAAAGTGAATTGAAATGTGCTCTTGCTCCTTTAATTTCACTCCTGAATTTACTTAACTTTTACAAAAATAAGTGAAGGTGACAAAATGTTGGACTTTAAAATATGACTTTCTTTTTTCCTCATGAAAATGGTATTAATCAATAGCAAATAAATAGCCATGGTTTCAGTAATAAAAACAACTGACGTTGCTCGTACACACTCTCTAGTTTGGAACACAAATCTTTGTTAACAGTTTATACAAAAACAGTGTCTGCTAGTCTTCACACCTGCCTCCTGAGTTCCTGTGAATGTTGATGCATCCCTCTCGTGCTCCTGGCTCTTTGTCTCTCAGCACCACATCACTTACACCCACCAGTGCACCAATTGAGCTGTTAGGAAACTCATTAAGAAAACACAGCTTGATGTCTGCAGCTGCTCAGAGCTTCTAAACTGCCTTCCTCATTAAATAAGTGCCATCCTGCATGCATGCCCTCTGTCAGAGACCTATTAGACCATTCCTCATTCACATTACATTTTCCTTTGAAATAAAAAGAAACATTGAACACCTCTGTGTTAATCTAGAAAGGATTCCTTTGGGATTACTTTCTTATTCCTTTAACATTCTAGTTGAACATGATGGATTCAGGGTCCTGGTTTGCCATTTGAGCCATATGTCGTAATACATCCTTTTTAGTTATGATACCCAGCAGCCTCCTAGAGAAGAAAAGGAAAGGAAAGGTCAACGATCATCTCATATATCATCCATGTTTTCCTATTCAGCTGCAGAGACATTTTGTTAGTGCTGTCCATACTCTCCATTTTCCAATGATTATCTTTTATAAAAAAACATTCATACTTCATGTATTTTTGCTACCTCAACTGTGATTGTTAACTAAAATATCTCCTTTTGTTGGAAAGCATGATTCAGTGAGGAGCTACAATGACTGGCGCTTCATATGACAAAGTAATGTATTTCCTTGCATCAGCAGCACAAAACCAAGACACCAGTGACCTATGTAGGACATACATGGAGTTTATAGTACATAAACTATACTAAAGTATGGACTTTATGAAATTCTCACTGTATGACATCATAATGACTTTAAATTTGCTTGATAATTTCTCGTTTATGTGACCTTAATGAACTGTAAGAAATACGAGGCCTATTGAGTATCTGACCCCAAGTGTAAAAAATTTCCTAACACTCAATGTTCCAGGGTTTTTATTTTCAATCCTTGAAGGCAATGAGGCACTGAATTTTGAAACTGTCATTGATAGAATTATTCCACATTTAGTCTGATGAAAGCCCTAGAAATCGAGATCAAAATTTCCAAATCTGAGTGCCTCAAATCAAGACCTAATTAATGGTCCTCATATTTTTATTGTTGAGCACAATGCGTTGACAGATTATATGCCATATATTTAAATAACAGGAAATGTTTTTGCAGAAGATTCGATTTTAATCTTCCACATTTGAAATCAATAGCTCTCTTTTTGCAATCTTGCCATAAAGTTTCTTCTTATCACCCGATCATGTGCTGAACAGTGCTCCTACAGTAACTGAAATCCCACTGGATCCATGGGATGTTTTTTTTAGTGCACACTGTACAGCTTTTTATTCTTCTAATTTCATGTTTGCTCACGCTTCTTCAGTAGTTTTCATGATCTTTTATTTCTTCATAAGCATCTAATCTGGCTGGATGTCTGAGAAAAGACACATCATTTGCAAACAATACTACTTGCCGGATTTGCCTTTGTTGAATATGAAACTATAGTGGGAGTCAAAACAACTTCCCATGTATTTGTCTATCTTTACCCTATCTAAAGGACAATACACAAAGGATTTGGGAGAATGGTGTGAACACCTGCTAAAGGCCATTTTGGTTGTGAGTCTGATTTTTTTTCTTCCCTGGAGGGATACCAGATGAACTTCTCTTAGTTTTTGCATCCACAGAATAGAATAAAATCATTCATCTGAGTGTCTCAGAGGTGCTGATGAATTAGTTATTGTCTATAGTCGGCTTTAAATGGGAAAAGGAGTGTTTTTATTAATGCTAATGAAAATCTCCTGAGATTCTTGAAGCATCCAGTTTCTACTCACCCACTGCGAGTGACAAGACACTGTCGGAGTCCAAGTTTCCGGAAGATATCTACCACAGTCTCCATCGGTGTGTGGTCAGTGACAGTGAAAGGGCTCAGGTTGAGAATACGCCGCAGCTTCAGAGGATGGGGACTGTTGGGTGGCAGTTCTGGAGGATCTTCAGTGAAATACACAATGGAGTTGCTCACCACCCCATCTTGACGCTGTCGTGCATTCTCTGTGCAACAGGAAGATAGAGGGAGAGGGTGAGTCAGGCTTGAAAACAGGCTTAATTACAAGAACAAAAAATATATCCCTCTTTGGAAAGCAGTGGTAGGAGCAGACTTCTGTCTTAAATGTTCTGAGGTACTGGGAGTTGAAGTCAAGGAAAAAACTCGAATTTCCTTGAGATATTGTTTCCTTGATATATCTGAAGCAAATGATATTTTTAGACATATATACTTCTTGTTTGAGATAATACTTTCCTAAATAAAAATGTGGCTCATTACATTCATTAATATCACTAATCCAATCTCTGTCAAATTCAGAAGATGATATATAGTTTTCTCCATTGTGAGAATCACAACAGAAACTTCTATTGCATGCCTGAAGGAGAGGAATTCCAGTCATTTTGGAGCTGTAAACTTGCTACCCGATTTCTGAGTGGAGCTGAGAAAATCTGGGTGTTGTAAAAAAGCAGCAAAAGACTCATTCACATCCCAGTGACCTAGGAGATGTATGTGTGTTATTCTGTACCGGCACAACTCTGGGATCCAGGGTGAACTATGTAGTTTTGCACTTAATTCCTCAAGTAGAGTTTATATACCCGAATTTTAAAAGGGCAGAAAAAACAAGCCTCCTGCTTAATGGAAAATAGCATAAGAAGGAAATCAGTCTGATACATTTTTTTCAACAAGTATTTGAACCTTTTCAAAAAGTCAAAAGCTTCAATACGTACTCTGATCAAACTATGAACTTTACACTACATTAGGAATTTACATGATCAATATGAACCTTGTGCTTTACAGTATGACTTTACAAGAATTCTTAGCACTGAAGTGACTTATTTTCTTGGTAGTGTTTACCTTATTTTTATTCATCATTACAGGTTACAATATTTGAGATGGATTTCCAAAGAATAAGCAACTTCTCTCTCCTCAGAACTAGTGTATCTTGTATTTGGCTCAGAGGGTTAAAGTTTTCTTCTTTTCCTCTTTTTTTTTTTTCTTCTCTGTAGAAATTCTTGGAAATGGTAGGAATTATTATCTTTGATTAATAGAAGTTGCTTCTGTTCTTGAGAGGTACAGCAAATCAGACATACTCAAAGCATATGTATATATTCTTGGAGGTCATTTCCATCAATCAAAGTGCAGAAATCTGCTTCTGTGACTTGTAATGTGTAGACAGTAATGGTTTCCAACATGTTCCAGCTGCATTTTTTTCCTTTTAACGATCTTTGTCTTGTAATATTTCTGCAACTGGAGCAGTTTTGGCTCAACCCTAATATCACTATATTATATGATTCTCAACCTTCTCACCCCACATATTACAAGCCTTATTGCAATTTATAGGAATGATGCTAACTTTGTCTCATCTTGTTTTGATTCATACATCTAATTTCAAGTGTGAACATGCTGCATAGTTCTTTGATATATGATCTGTGGTAAGAGGTAACATTAATCAAAATTAACTCCCACCTTTTGATAAAAACCCTTGACAGCTAGGTATTTCCTTCCTGAACATGCACCCAAAACAACAGGCACAAGTACTTTAGTTACCACTTTGCTGTTCCCAAGGCAGCAATGACTCTGGACAACAGTGATTAACCAAAGCCATGACTTCACTCCTGAAAGATAAACATCTCTCTAGAGAAATTTGAATGATATAGTACTTTTGAGCAAATTCAGTGGTATCATAAAAATGGTGGACTTTGTGTGCAGTCTCACTGGTTGGAGAATTTAGATTAAAGGTGAAACAGATGAACAGACAATTTTTGCAATCAGTGGGTAAGAAAAACAGATACAGATTAGCAAAAGGAGCAAGACAAATGGATGATAATGACTTTATAAAGTAATCTGTGCAGAAGGCTTTTGTCTTAGAGTGTGGATTAATTCTCCCAAATGTGAAATGGCCTCTCAAATTCAGGAGTTTGCAGCCTATGTGAACTATGTTGCTCTTCCAACTCCGCACTGGGGCAGGCACATTATAGAGGCCACCTGGCTTGTGTCCAAGACTCAGTCTTTTGTACAGAAGCTGGCCAAATGTAAAAAGAGTTTTACGGAGTCAAGTACTGTAAAGAAGTCATCTGAGGTGGACACGTATATTCTCAGAGTGTGACTGACGACTTAAGTTCGCCTGACTTACCTACCTGCTCAACAAGGAGGTACAGAGGGATGCAATCCTCCTGGAAGTGCTTTGGAGCAATGAGAAGAGGTATTGCTATTCACTTTACAAGGACCAGCACTAAGCATTCTAGAGATTGCTTAGTGCTCCACAGTTGTAAGGAAGAAATGGTGCGGAAGTAGATCATGAGGCAGAGAGCTGTATGTGAGCCAGGATTTTATGCAGGATTCAATAGTTATCGCCTTCATCTAAGAGATCAGTTGTGTGAGGGAATCGAAGTACTTCTCCAGTGTATTCCCTCAGCCACCACACTGCAGATGCACAATTTGTCAAGCAAGAGAAAGCTGAGGCTTCTTAGTTGAAGTGCATTTATCTCTATATATGTGACATGTCATTGTATGGTGGCTAGTTCAAACTGAGGATGCATTCTGAGTGGCATAATGTTGTGAAGGAAGACATATAGTTGTGAGCCTGACTGCTTTTCAGACACTTCCACTTAACAGAAAATTGTGAATAACACAGTTAACATCCCACGTTACCAAAATCAAATTTACACGTATACTGATACTCTCTACTCACTTATTGCAAGAATGAGCTCTCGTCTTTGTGCAAATCCAATAAGTCTCTCCGAGTCTTTTGAGACCACAACTGGGAAGCCATTGTAGTCAGTCTCCTTAATTAATGTCTCAACATCCTCCACAGTCATGCTGTCCTGTGTCAGAACAGAAAGAGGAGCTTCACCACGTCTTGGTCTCATGACGTCTGTTGCCAGAGTTCGGTGGGTGAATTCATCCTTCACATCTAGAAACGGGTAACCGTTGAGATGGATGTGAGCTTCATAGATCCCTTCTTTCCCAAAGGCATCTGCCACCCACTTGCTTGTGACAGCTGCAGCCATAAGAGGTACAATATACTCCAAGCCTCCAGTTAGCTCAAACATAATCACCACCAAAGAGACCGTCATTCGAGTAACACCACCTGGCAACAAAGAAAGCAGTCACTCAGTTCTCCATAAGTATACCTACTAAGCAACTCATTTATTTTTTTGCATCTTGCAGTTTAAAAGTTACAAAATTATTCATGCTGAATACTTTGCCCGCATACTTTGTGAAGTATTTGGGGGCTTATTTAACTGAAGAAAGATATTTTTCATCTGCTGCAATTTTCATCAAAAAGATGGAGCAAAGTTGCTCAAGCCAAAGATGTAAACTTTGAAAAACAAAGAATTTATGCAACAAGACTGAGCTATCAATCCAGAAGGCATGCAAAAACTTCAGCTCTGCTGGATACTTGGGAAACTAACACTGAATCCTTCTGTTGACTTTCTAAAATAACTCCAAGAATTAGCAAAGTTCCATGGCTAAGACAGGCAGTATTACAGCTCTGGGAGCTTTGACAGCTGGCCTTCACATTGGGTTACCTATAGCATTCATACTGAAAAGAAATCTAAGCATTACCTTCAAGTGTGTCACAGTTACAAAATTTGAGGTATGGACAGTTTAGGGCCTCTGCAAGCTACATTACATTAGTTTAATACACAGTTTGAACTGAGACAACTTGGTTTCAGCCCATTTAGGCATGCAGCTCTACATGCCTGAGTATAGTTATAGTTATATTTTTCAATTCAGTCTTTTCATTTTATAAGCAAACTTCTTACTCTTTCAGTTTACATTAAAGGATAAATATAATCATATATCTGCAGACAAGTGTGTATGTATTACTGAATTATTAGGTAACATTTCTTTGCCTCTGTTCAAAAGGTAAACGTAATAAATCCGCTATTTTTAGTCCTCACAATGCAACATCATTTTGGATGAGAGGAATCAGCAAACAGGTCATTTAACAATGTTTTTATTCTACAACATACACGAAAATTAAGTTTTTGATTATTTAACACGACAATCTGGATATAACTTTCGTCTCAGGAATGTCTTAATGACCGAGTCTGAGAAGTTGAGAGGAGATACCACTCTAAGGATCATTTAATACTTCCTTTGTTTCTTACAGCCTTTCCCTAAGCAAGACAGAACATTGGCCTTAAGAACAAGTGCTGACCATGCCATTGTGTGTTTCAACATACTGCTAAAAGCACTGCACCTTGATTTGAACTTTTTAAAGAGGAAGTGACTGTTGGCCAGAGGATCAACTGGAATACCACAGCAAAATTCGTGTTATTTATTTTGTGAACATTAAGATCATTTATGGATAAGAGAAAGTGCTTTCTGCTTGCTGAGACTAAGATTCATCCTAGCTGTTGTTACATGTCTGCATTATAGCAGTCATCCAGATTGCTTTTATAGCCTCTGGAGAGAACAGTCACCATCAAGGATAAATTTGCCTGATGTCTTTTGCCAGATGAGACTGAACTTTGCAGTATTTCATTTTTAATGTATGGACTGTGAAGGGTATCAATGCATCTCAGGTGTCAGTGTCTACATTACAGACTGTAAATTTAGACAAGCAAATCCCACCTTCAGTTCCCCAGTAAATGATCACACAAACAATCCTATTTCTTTAACAGTACACTCTGAAACTGAAATGTCTCCAGCTCTTCCCTGAGTGTATCTTTCCCACTGTTATTTCATCATCTTATGATTCTATCAATGATGATAACAAAAGGAGGTAAAACATGCACATACTGAAAGAGAAAGTCATGATAGGACAAAAATGCATTCAGATGGTATTCTTCAACATTCCTGTTAAATTTATGACTAGAAATTTAATATGCGAGGTATGGTTCAGTGACCTAGCGTTACTAGTTAACAGGTCATTCCTGTAAAATCCAACGAATCCTAGCAATTTGATGTAATCAGATGTTGGCCTACAGCCAAAGTGAAAACAAAAAGATAACTCAGTTGATCAGATTTTGACACACAGCCATAATAATACCCCAAGTTTTTACTTCTATGTAGCTTAAGATTTGGCCAGACCTGAGAATTTTATTCCCCTCACTGGAGAGGGAACACAACCTAAACAAGAAGTAGCTTTACTCCAGCTACAGTGGATTTCATTATATCTACGGGAAAAAGCAAGCAACCAGCATAAATTACCACCATCACTCCTCCTTGGAAATCCGTAGCCTAACTTTTTTATTTTCCTCATTTGTGCACTATTGGTAGATCACAAAGAGTAGGCACTGGTGACTGCAAGTCTCTCTTGTTGACTTGTCTACATGTGTAGAGAACTCTTGTTGCCTTCTCTCTTGTAAACCACTGGGGAGACTCTTTGAAGAAGCTTCCCATGCTTCAGCCCGTCACATTATTCCATTCAGAAACACCAGCATGAAACCTAACACAGACACAATACCCACTTAAGCAATTTGTAGGTTCCCAAGTAGTGGTGTTACCCATGAGCAATGATCAGCATGTACTGTACCCAAGCAAGCAGCCGCTCCCACCATAGCATAAAGTCCTGGCGTGACGCAGTCTGCCCCAGGTCTGCACCAGTTCCTGAAGATGATCCAGTCATGATGGTGATAGGCCAACTGCTCCACTCCAATTCCAACCATCCTGCCAGCCATGGCTCCAACAGCCATACTGGGAATGAAAAGGCCTGAAGGAATCTTGAATAAAATACAGAAGCATGAGAGCACCGGCAAAAAAATGATCAGTAATGAAATTATACGTCAAGCAATTAATTATTTATTCTTGGCAATAAGAAAACCCATTTCCATTATTAAAAGCTAGATCAGGTCATAGTTTTTTTGGCAGCTTATAGTGATGTTCCTTATGTTTTCCCATAGGTTTATACAGTGACTTTGCATGGCTGCATGAATATATTAATAGCTTTATATAATTCAAAGGCATTTTAGAAGCCATTTGGAACTCTTCCTGCAGCATCACACTGAATTTGACAGTTAAATGGTGGTTTTGAGTCATAGTCTGATTTTAAAGTAAAGATATTCCTGGTTTTTCATTTATTGCTTCCTCATCAGGAGCTACCGATGGCTGTGTCAAGGGCTCAAGAATAAGCTTAACTGAAAATCATGTCTTGAGTTCAGTCTCTATCACGTGAAGTATTTTACAGCTTTGTTACTAGTCCTTCAGGCTAAATCAAACCAGATTTTAAATTAAATGTCAAACAGAATAAAAATTTAAGGATAGGAGGCCGAGTGCTCAGAAGCAGATATTTCTTCAACTCAGATTGCTATGTATTTTCCTGGAAGATTTATGAATCATTTCCTTTTTGTCTGCTAAACATCAAAGTCACAGATCACTAAAAAAAAACAGTATTGAAACCAAACCAAACAAACAAACAAAAAAAAGCAAACACACAAACTACCACAAAAACAACAGGCCATTTTTCTTCATCTGAGTGAACTTTTTCTCAGATGTCAAATTGGAGACAAATTTCCTGGTGGAGAAGGCAACACAGAATGATTGCAAAGAGCCCACAAGCATCAAGTTTGAGGTTTTTAAAGAAAGATTTTTCTATGATGTTTTTACATAATTCTGAAATTATACCTTGAGCTTCTTAGAGAGCTAAACTAACAATCTTTGTCCAGATGCTGGAGCTATCTCATCCCCAATGTACTGTTAGTTTTCCTGATACAGTCAAATTGAGCCTTCTAAATTTGCTGGATATGGCAATTTTATCTGTTCTTTTTCAGAAGAGTTGAAACTATCAGTTGCTACTAACAATTTTTAAATATATCAAAATTAAGAATTACATGCCAAACAAAGAGCCAAAATCAGAAGCTTTAGATAATAACCAAGTTTAGCAAAAACTGGCTACCAGCACCAGCACAAATCACAGTCTGTAGTGAAGGGCATCTCTTTTCAAGTCCTTCCCCTGTATCCTCTTTGGATATCTTTAATATCCAAGCACTCCTAAACTCTCACTCATTCTCCCTGCTCGAGAAATCAGCTGGACTTAGCCACCCATTCTGACTGACCTGAGCCCCACTCAGTTCTTGTCATCAATGGGGGCCCAACTGGAGAAAACATGAAAGAAATACAAAATTCAAAAAAAAAATTTTTTTTTTTTTTGAAACTGGCCTTCTAGAGCATAGTTTTCCAGTTATTCTGAGTTTTCTCAGAATAACTTCGTATCATCTGCTGCAGTCAGATCTGGAGTTACATGCTCAGATAACGGGAGATGTAGACAGACAGATACGTTTTTATATAGGCTCCAGCACTCAGATATGCAGAACTGTCCACAATCGGCTTTGTATGTACTGAAAGCTTGGATAAATTGTTCTTGAATCCTTCATCACCCATTTATGGGGAGCAGAAGGATTGGAAGAAAAAGCTGTGAGTCTAGAATAATCAAATTATATATCCATCAGTCCTCCCACTCTCTCTTTTTTCCAGGCTAACGTGCTTAAAGAGATTCAAAGACAGAAGTTTTCACCTACTTTTAAATCTTAGTTAAGTTTTAAACGTGTAAATCTGTAAACTGAGAATTATTACTTCCCTGAGCATAGTTAGCTTGAGGCACATTAAGACATTAATCCAACAACACAAACAACAATGTAAACAGTCCGTATTTCTGACAGAGCTGAAAGACAGCTGCAGTGGAAATCATGCTGAATTTGCTCCTTTGCAGCAGTCAATTTAAATACTCTTCCAGATATCTTTTTCACTTAATAAAACTGGAGTTAACTAAAAGGTGCAGAAATGCAGGACTTGTCACTTTGCTGCAATTGTGCCCTGCAGAGAAAGGTTTTGGCAGGCCAGTGGAGCACTAGGCATCACAGTGGCCCACACATGGCTGAAGGTAAGTCAGAGGCACCCAAACCATGTGATACAGACTTGAACTGCTGACTGCAACCCATTTGTGCCTTGGGACATATGGACAGCATCATTCAGCACACTACATGAGAAGTGCCACAGTGAGCTCTTCACCAGTCCCCAGTTTACCTTCATGCCGAAAGTGAATATTGTGATGACAATTTTAAACACCAGAGCCAAGGCGAGCTGCCACATGGCAGTGTAGACTCCAGGGCCAGCAGGTCTGTCAGGAATGTCATCCACTGGCCGGGTCATGTTTGGGTCATTGATGTAGTCGCAGAGCTGGGAGGACTCCAGAGCACCGCAGTCATTGAAGAGCTCTGAGATCAGCTCACTGGTGCTCCTCCGGGTGTACGGGTTGGGGTAGGCGATGATGGCAGTGATGGCTGTTATCACAATAACTTCCAGGACCGGGTATTTCCCAAGCCTGGTGGTTTTTCGCCTCCTACACCAGGCAATGTTGCAGCGGATAAAGAGGGTCCCCCAGAGGCCACCGAAGACGCCAAGAAGAATGAAGGGGAAGAGCTCAGCCATGTACCAGGGGGTATGGTACTCCACGTAGAAAAGGACCAGTCGGCTATTTCCAAAAGGATTGATGGACCTCAGTGTGAAGGCAGCCACAAGAGCAGCGAAAAATGACCTCCAGAGGGTTTTCAGGGGAAAGTAATAGCTGACCTAAAATCAGAGACAAGCAAACTTCATTGAGTGTGTCAGAGGTTGCTGGCTTTAGATATTCATCGGAGTACAGTAGGCTGCTGTAGTTTGTTCCTTCTGTGACTTTGCATCTGACTGTACTAGGAACACCAGATCTTATGGCAGCCAGAACATGTTCACAAAGGTATTAGAAAGGGCGTTTTGAGGTTTGGATGTGGAGCAGCAATCGATGAAAAATCAATAAATCTAAATTTAAAGAAAGTAAAACAGATGCTTCATAGGTCTGCCCATGCAACAGTTACCTTAAAGCCATAGAAAGCTCAGCACAATGACACATTTACAGACTGAATCACATTTTTCCAGAAAGACAGTGGCCTTCTTTTATTTGAATTATGCTAAAATACCTGGCTAAATTTCATTACTAACAATCAAAGTTTATTTTTGCTTTACAAGAAGAATAACCATATAAATATTTGAAAAATAAAATGAATCTTAGAAAAAGGCATCAAAAGAAGATATGTATTTATTGAAACAAATTAATTGCCAGCTCTCACCTCTTCCAGGCTAAAAAGTACACCTCCAATTGGAGCCCCAAAGGCAACAGAAACTCCTGCAGCTGCTGCAGCTGAAAGAACCTACAAAACAAACATTAATGTACAAAGCGTGAGTCCTTTGAAACACTGAGTATCTGGAAAGGGAAATAAAGGATGATTTGAGCCAACCTCACCTCTCTTCTTTTTCCTTCGTTCTTGCTGTACTTTGAGAAAAGGCTGCTGAAGAAGTTTCCGCAGCAACAGGCCACGTGGACTAAGGGCCCTTCTTTCCCAAGACTGAGGCCTGAAGATACCACCAGAACCAAGGTGACTGTTTTAATCAAAAGTGTCCACTTTCCCAGGTAGCCCCTAATAATGAACCCACTCAAGATGGTTTTTATCTGGAAAGCAGGAAGAACATGTTGAAGAGCTGAAGAAACCTTTTCTACTCTGAATTTGCAAATTGAGTTAAAACCTCAGCGGAGTTAAAAATCACAGATTGCTTGGGAAGAGACAGTGATGGAGGGAAAGAAGTCCTAGGTAGGGCAGCTATCCCACAGTGTACCTGAACAGGGGGGAAGAGTTACTGTTATTATGGGTGTTCCCCTGAGTTGGTAAGGAGTCTCATACAGATCAATAGAAACATGAAACTCTTACATATCTTCTTGGCTTACAGGATCAGAGTTAAACTCGACTGAACTATAACAAAGTAGAGAAAAAAAGCAAATAAACAATCACAAGCCATTTCCAATTAAAACAAGAAATAAAATGTTCTAAATATTTGGAATGGCCGTGACGTAAAAGCATACAAGTATTATGAAATTAGAAGGCCCAAAAGATCTTATTTTTACACATTTTCTCTTAATTTGGCACGTGAGTGGCTAGGACAGAGCACAGTGCACATGCATTAAACAGAGACTGCACGGGGATTTAAGTTTGGAAACCAGCCCTGGAAACAGACTAGAGTTGAGTGTCACTGTCACGTGTTTCCCCACACAGAAACAATGACAGTGGGGATTGGAAAGCCATGTCCACTTTTAGCAGCAGTCCACTTTTAGCACTTCTCCCACTTTAGCAGTGGGAACAAGAATGAGGAGTTGTATTGTCATTGCAAGTCAAATCTCTACTTTATGGACTACGGTTTTAAAAAAGTAATTAAGACTGAGCGTGTTTAAATAAGTCGTTTTGGTGGATTCATCTTAACAGGAAATACAGTTGAAAGCATTTCTTGCAATCAAATATAGGTATCAAGTAAAACTGATTTTGAATGGTTCTGAAATTTATTTTCTATAAACCAGATTTAATTATGAAAACTTTATAAAACTACTTAGAGATGTATCAAATACATTACAAACATGTGACTACTTTGAAACATGGAAATATTTTAAATGTTTCAAATTATTTGCAGGAATTTTTTCCTTATTGGCTATGGGATATTTTCCTGCTTCTTCTACGGATAAAGAACTAGCCTAGTCTAGTATTAGATATGGAGCAGGGGTTTGGAGCATGATGATCCTTGAGGTCCCTTCCAACACAAGCCATTCTATGATTCTATGAAAGAAAGTATGTACAGATTTCTAAAATTTAAACCGTTGGCTCTTTTGGATATTGTTAAGTAATAAGCTCCATAGTTTTATAGCACTTTAAATGAAAGACTGCTCTGATTTCAAAAACTGTGAGTGGTTATACTACTTTAATTGCAGGGGTCCCCGCTTCAACGACTACATCTGGGCTTAAGCTCAAAACATTAAAACTGATCAGAGATTCTAGCTGTCGTAATGCCATATCAGCATGACATTGTGTATAAGGACACAATTTGCAGCCAGGCATTTTTCAGACACCTCAAATGATGGGCATCTCAAATCTTCAGTTACTCAGGAAATCTTAGGTTTGTTGTCCTCTCCCTTTACTTTAGTTTGCTCTTGCTTAAAGTATAACCTAAAAATTTCTGCTGTTTATACCCGGCCCAAGTATTTTCATCCAAGGAAAGCACAGTATAATCTCTTAGTGAGTAGTCACAAAAAATTGGACTTCATAAACTGATGACAGGGAGCTGTCGATTTTTAATTCAATATACATTCTTCTTCACTGCCAGAGGTTAACAAGTCACAGTGGCATTTGAACATTTTCTACTATGTAAAACTCTGTTACCATGAACACAGGTTAGACAAAGGAATGAAGACACATGAGGTTTATTCCCATGCTACCTCACAGTACAGTTCTGGAAGAAGAAAAGGTAGCAAATGATCTTTTCTTTGGCTCAGTTTTTAGATATTCATCTGTAAAGAGAAACTCACCTCTGGGATTCCAGAGCCGCAAGCATAGGGAGCAAACACCCTGACCAGGGAGACTGCCAGGAAAGCAAAACATAGAGCCCACAGAATGTACAGAAAATAGTTCAGAATGTAAGCACTCGCACCCTAGAAAAATAACAGCAATACACATAGTTAGACAAATACAGGATAGTAAGTGCCATGTTTCTTCTAGAGACGAGGGTGGCATGAAGCCTGGTCTTTTCATTTACACGCTAGTTGCTGCTTTGTATCACGAAGGACAGATGACCTCATATGCTCCAAAAAATTTACTACCCATGTGAAGAAGCAGCATTCTAATATGTATATCTAACCCCATCCATTCAGTTTGGGAAGGACATAAAGGGCATTCAAAGAGCAGCTCTCCATACAAATGCTGATCTTTTCAAACTTTATCCCTGTGTATATCAGTGGCCAGTTCAGCTCACAGAGTAGAAGGGTGAAAGCATAAATAAATCCTTTCTTTCTATACGATACCATCTATGACAGAGTGAAAATCATTTGAAAACACAGTATCTTGACAAACATATCACATATCCTTGATATTTTAAAACTATTCCAGTCATTAATTAAAGCCATCTGCATATTGAAACATAAACATATTTAATTTACTGACAGAATGGAAACAGTAGTGATCATGAGCTGTGGCTGACTGTTCAGGACCATAGTGAAAGCACAGTTGGCAGTGTCCTGCCAGTTTTTCTGTCATTCTCAATGACCAAGTCAAAATCGTTGTTCAAGGTTGTCTTAAATTACTCCTCCCTCTTAACAAGCATAATTATTAGATAAATTTCAAAAACCACACCTACACAGACAAAAGAGAACTTAGTTGAAGAAACTGGACTGATGCAAAGAGGTTTATTTTTCAAACAATCTCCTGCAGCATGACACTACAGAACAAAAAACAAGATGAAACTCAGTGCATGAGCTGGTATGAATTCTTCACCTCTCAGTGAACTCTTCCTACCGGATGCAAGCCCAGCTGCTGAAGAACATCAAGGCACTTTGCTCTTACAGGACAGCAGCGTGGATATCAACATTGCGGTAAATCAAGTAGGAAAACAGGCTTTAATCAGTTGTATCGTATCTTCTGTTAATAGAGTTGGCCAGACCCAGTTTCTAGTCATTAAAAAAACCCCTAGCACTGTGAAGTGTCTCTGTTTGTAAGCTTGAAAGAAACCAACCCTTAAAAACACGAATCCTTGCTAAGCCTCATTTTCCTGATCTCTACCCAATTGAAAAAACAGCAAGGAAACCACTGCCCTTAATCTTGTGGATATATCTGAAAGGGCAATTTGTTAAGTTCCTCTTATGCTTGCTGACATTAGCAGCTGGCCTTGCTAATAAAAACAGTACAATACCATCCTGCAGTGCCCTGAGAATCTAGCAGTCATGGATCTGACATTCACAGTGATTGACATCTGTCTACAGCAATCATGGATGTATGTTGCTGCAGCTGAAGACAGCCTTGTTTCTTCATGAGTGTTTTCTCCTAGTGCTTTCAATTACAAACAGCTAAGGCAATATTTACTCTTCCTCCAAAGAAAACTGGGTATGTTGTCCCAGGACAAAATACTGTGAACCTGGCTTAGCTCCAAAGACTAATGCCATCACAAAAATGTGGCCCTACAACACTGACATAAAGCTGCAGTTCTGATTCTAAATTCACTTTATTCTAACTAACTTCATTTCTTCTTACTTCCACTTCTTTCACATCTGAGAAATCAGATGAAAACTATATCAGCTCATTACTGCAGTCACACATATACCTACTGCATTGTGGCAAGACCTCACAAGATTCTACGTGGCCAGTTCAGTCTTATCCCTAAGGACAGCCCTCACTGTTACATTTTCCAGATATCTGTTTTCCTACAGATCCAATTGCAGCGGTTTCTAATGATTAAAAATAATAAATCCTTCGGGAAGTGAAGTAGTAGGAACTCAGTATAGCAAATGGGTCATTTCTCATTCATTATATGCATTGAACCAGAAAAACATCTATACTGGAATCAGAGACTGAAAAAGCTCATCAGTGGAGATGATCCTGCTAACATCTTTTCCAGCAGTGGCTCTGAGGACTCATCCTGGCAGCAATAGTGATGAAGAAGCAGTGGAACAGAGCAAAACTTTATATTTTAGTTTACAACTACTTAGCAACATTTCAGATCTGGTTTCAGTGCAGATTAGGTACAAATTGAACATAATTGAAAACAATTCTCACAAATTTAAAATTTTGAAATAAAACACATCCCTCAGGATGCCATCCATTGCGGGCCAATGCTTGTTTTCATACAGGCAAAGAGCTCTATTCTGACTCAACTTAGGATGTCATAGCTTGCAGACTTCCTCCTATGGACTTTATAGCAATATGCATCCTTAAGGTTCAGTACTGACAGATTCAAGGCTGCAAAGTTGGGAAGTGGGTCCAAGATGTAGAGAGGCTTCCTTGGCTTGCAACCTTCACGACAGGAGATCCAGCAGTTTGGGCGCAGTCCTGGGCAATCTGCTGTAGGTGGCCCTGCTTGAGCAGGCCTACACCAGATTATCTCCAGAGGTCCCTTCCAATCTCAACCATCCAGTAAGCCAGTAATAATCATGATCCAGTATCGTGAGCCATGGAAGACATGTGGTCCTTCCCTCTAGCTTGGGTAGACATGAAGCGTTAGAATATAGGGCCCTCAGCTCCAGTGTAGTGAAGGGCCAAGCTGCATCTGCAGAAGCTCTGAGGCACCAGACGTTGGCTAGAGATCTAGCTGAATTGGGTGGCATCTTATGTAATGTTAAACATCCATAGCTCCAGTGAATTTGAGTTTTTGAAACTCTTGTATTACAACACTCCTTACGTGCTTTTGGTTGGTCTACAAAACAGCGATTAGGGGAAAAAATGTAGCCTGGGATGTTTCTGGTGCACTATTATGTTTTCCATAACGATTTACGTCAAGACTGCTTTAGGCTCATTTAATAGGACTGGACTAAATCATTTTTCAAGAGATGCTATAGGAAACGTCACAATTATCAGTGAGAGCATCAATGTAGAGGGTTTATCAGTCATAAATCAGAAAAACCACATGGAAGAAGTGGTCTAAATCTTAGTCCTCAAAATGTCAAATTTAGTTGACTATGATGAGAAAGAGTCACAGTCACACATAAAAAAAGTAGACGCGTCTGATAGACTGCCCTTGGAGAAATTGCCCTGAGAACTTTTTGTCTGGAATGTAATCCAAATTAGTTCTCCTGTGCATTGCTGTTCTACAGAGCAGCTACCCAAACATAGAATACCAATTCAAGCAATACAGCCACAGTCAATAATAACAATAATAATAATCCTGAAACTTAATAACATTCAGTATATTATGATTCCTCTTAGAGTCCTCTAAAGATACAGGAATCATGTAGAACTTGCTCACGTTTGCAATACAACATAATTTTTACTTGCCAGATCCACATTTCTGTTGGAGTATTACAGATCTTTGCCATGGATTTGTATATAATAGTAATATACGCTTCTTATTAATATTGCAATCTCCATTGGGTCATGGCAGCCAGAAAACTATGGATCTTAGAGCATCCTTTGACTAAAACTGAGAAAGAACCCTTTTTTCCCCACAGTGACATGATACTAGGAGGTCATAAGCCCAGTTTGGATAGAAATGAGCTAAATTTTACGTTGTCCACCTAGATGATACTTTTCTTATAAGCCAAGGCATATAATAGTCATGATGGCTAAGTTTGTGCAGCAGGTGAAAGCAATAAATTTTCTCAAGGAAATGCTCTGTTTAAATATTCCAGGTTCTCAGAGTAACAGCATGTCAAACACATGCACAGGATTTCTAAACCCCATAACAATTGTAACATTCCACCCTTTTTTGATTTGCCACATTTTTTGTTCACTTAAATTACAACCCTGTCCCCAGTCCTGCAACCTTATACCACGGTAATATTTCTTCACTGTTACAAAGATACACCCATCTGAACCATCTGTTTATGAAGAACTGTGCAAGCCCGGAAAACCTCTGGCAAAGGCAAGTTTGGCATTGTGGACTGGAAGTTGTACAGAGAGATTTCTGCCTGTGATTAAGTGGTGGGAATGTTCAGGGACAGTAAGCACCCCACTACCTTCGCTACAGTTAATTACAAGTATGGAAAATTGGGTTGTGCATATTCACAGACACTCTCCTTTAGTATTACTTGAACTACAAACTGAAAGTGGCACTGAAGTGAACATGAATGACAATCTTGTACAGCAGTGAAGGTGCCCTCAAACATTTCCTGCAGGGTCGAACCTCCTCCACACTGGAGGAAGATCTGAGACAATGTCTCCAAGTCACCTATTTTCAGTTGCCCGGCTGCAGAAGGTTTATGCCATAGAAGTATGTATTTTCTTTCCTTTATTATTGCCTAAACTGCATTACTATTTAAAAACAAACCAGAAGTTCTGTTAGGGACTTTGATATCACATAAGCCCTTTCTTTCCAATGACACATCCATCTCACTACCCAATGTCATATTCAATTTTGCCTCCAAGTTGCCTGTAAACATGGGGGATGTTTTTCAATACAATAATTTGAGTTTTGAGGGAGTTGATATTATTCAATACATTGAATAGCTGAGGTGGAAACAAAATACCACGAAAGTACCGTCTGCCACAAGGGGTTAAGGAAGGCTACCATAGATGTCTTAAAATTCAAAACTTCCACACATTCTGCCTTGAAATATTATCATTTGTACTGAAAATAACTATAGTTAAAAAAAAGAAGAAAAATAAAAGGATAGAAAAAAGGAGAGAGAGAGATATTTTCCTGTTTCTATCACAGGTGGTATTGTAACAATGGGGCCTATCCTCAACTATGCAGGTATTGCTTGTGGTAATGTCTTTAAAAACAAACAAACAATAACAACAACAAAACAACTACAGCACCCATCAACCAACCAAACAAAAAAAACCCACGCATCTATTTCCATTCATAAAGTTTTCTCTTTCAGAGAATCTATCTGGAAAGATCACCAGCAAGTATGAAAAAGAGGCATTCCCTGGCTTCCCTGACCCACCCCAAAGAGGGCTCCCATACCTCTGATTGGTTTACAAGAAGTTCAGACCATTTCTGCCACTGGGGACATTTGTCTCTGTCATCAAAGGTCGTTTCATTAGACGTCCAGCAGCACTGCTCGTGGCTGTACCAGAATGCAGACAGGCAGACACCTTCCTTCAGGTCTGTCATCCAATCCACAGCTAAATCTATCACTCCAGCTAACGTGCCTGGAAAAGGAAATGCATGAAAAGGAGATGTGGCACCGAAAAATACCAAGCCATGACGTAAATACATCTGTTTATAATAAAAGCAAAAATACATCATTTAGGGAAGAAGCTGCAATATGTCATAGAATCATAGAATCATACAATTGCTCAGGTTGGAATGCGTGGACATGCCAAAGAAGTGGAAGAAACAGTGGGAGAACTGCAAAGAAACAGCCGTACCAACATGTTTGATCTATCAGCATTCTCTCCTAAAGCATTTTTTTTTTAAAATACTGTTATTTTCATGCTGGCTAATTGACAAAGATGCAGGCAGGCATACCATGTGATGCAGGTCAGCAGGGCTGTGGAAGGACTAGGCCACAGGGCCCAAGCCACACTGTGCATTTCAGGGGTGGATAGGAGGACACTGCTGCTTTCCTCCAGTCCTTCTGGTCCCAAGATGGCAACCTTTTAAAAGGATGCTTTCAGTGCAAAAACAATATGGATGCCAAATTTTGACTTATGAAGTTAGTGGAATCAGACTCTTGATGTGTGCATTCATTACCAATCCGAATACACAGATTAAAACTGCTCTTCAAATTCTCTCTTTGTGGACGTAAGCCCTATTTAAGCAGTCTCCCAGTAACTACACAGCCCTACAGCGACATCCAGTGGACAGAAGACGCGTAAATGTCACGCGGTGTGACCGCAAGGGAAACAATGCTTTTCCAGTGTATTTTGTCGGTGAATTTCAGCGATATTAAAATATTTTGGAAAAGGTAATGGATCGTCTTTATAGTTTCAAGACTTTTATTTTTCCGCTTCCTGCTAAGTATCCAAACAGCTGAAGGGAGGAGGTGTGGAGGGCTTGCTCTTTTTTTCCCTTAGGAGTCAGTTCATTTGACCTGTAAATAAAGTTTCTGCTTTTTATTTCTGTGAAATAAGAAGAAAATAATAACAAGAATAATAAAATTCAAATAATTCACGCATGCACGACCTGCTTTTTATTCACCAAAATAGAACCAAAAATAGCATCTACTTGTGTGACCTGCTGTAGGGAACCTGCTTTGGCAGGGGGTTGGACTTGATGATCTCTGGAGGTCCCTTCCAACCCCTACAGTTCTGTGATTCTGTGATTCTGTGTGATCCACAGGGCTTTATACACGAGCATATTTTCATCTTAGCAAGAGTACCTGTCACAAACTCAACTACATTCGCAGTGTCGAATTTTTGTTGTAACAGAAGAGTATGAAGAACTATACGCAGAATGCCAGAATCACTAAGGTTGGAAAAGTCCTCTAAGATCATTTAGTCCAACCACCAACCCATCGCACCACACCCACTGACCACATCCCCCAGTGCCACATCCACGTGTGTCTTGAGCACCTCCAGGGACGGTGCCTCCACCACCTCCCTGAGCAGCCTGTGCCTCTGCCTCACCACTCCTTCTGAGAAGAATTTTTCCTATTATCCAACCTGAACCTCTCCTGGCCTTTACTTAAGGCCTTTACTTCTCATCACATACCGGACAAAGCCACAACAAAACAGGCTGCAGGAGCAGTGATGCCTGTAACAGTGATTTTATTTGTAGGCCTTGACTTTCTTTTGCTCTCTCTTTCCATTTCCCCAGATTTCTTTGGAAATGATAAAATACGTTTTTAGACCACTAGAAACCATCATGCTGTAACATCAGCATGCATAACTCAGTGAGATACAGTAAACTATAAATTCTCCAGTTTTCTGAAACTTTCAGGAAATGACAAAAAGGATCCTCAGCCCTTGAGCATAAGCACCAAATGCTGTGCCTCTTACATCTGTTGGTGGATTTATCATTCTCTGTTGTCACTCCAATCTTTGAAGTTCACATAATCCATAATCAGACAATTTAATATTAATGCTACCTAGTAGAAGGTGCAAATAAAGGAAGCTTTTGAATGTTTTTCCCCTAATCAAGTGAACAACAGAGTAGGAAAATAACATTCAGTTCTCTAACACAAGCTTCCATGCACCTCTGTGCCTCTAAGAAAATGTGTGCAATTATATATTGAACTAATCCGTTTTGCTACATGGAATCCACATAAAGAGGAAAATGCTGTGATTTACTACACACATTTTACAGAGAAAATCACAAGAAGAAAAGACCAGTGCTTGCAGATTTATAATACAATAGTTATTGATTAATAAGCCCAGTGACCAGAACTAGATTTTATGCAAGTTCCAAATCTTTGCAACTTCAAGTGAAATTAATGGAAGTTGCAGAGAGCTCAGCAACCCAGAATGTCAATCCTTTAACTTTGAAGCTAGACATCTTAACATTGCTGTCTAGACATGTCACTGCAGAACTGCAGTATAGCATATGTTTATTTCCATATTTTTCCATCAAAGGAGATGAATTTGGTCCCCTGGTCTATACATCCTCCACCTGGAATGAAAAATTTAAGCTAACTTTAAACTCCTGGGCCTGAATAACTTTTCCAAGTGCCTTTCGAAATACATGGAGGCTCCTGCCATCCCCTCCCCCAAAAGTCCCACCTTGCTGGCCTCTGTCCCCACCAAGGCTGTGGCAGGGACACAGTTCCCTCATGCCCTGGATCTACTGCTGCTGCTTTCCCCTCCTCACCTCCCCTGTTCTTGCCCCTGGCAATGCCTGGATTCAGCTGCCCAAGAGCTGCCCCACGGCCACGCAGCAGAGCCAAGGCTCCATCTTTGACAGGCACAGAGTACATGTATCATTCCAAGAGCAGACAAAGTCTACAGCCCGGATCATGAGCACGCAGATAATTTTTTTCTCTTGCTGGTTCACAACTCCTTGCCCAATTAAAAAACAGACTAATCTCTATTCTTTGTGGTAAAACATGCTGTACTGCTCTTATGTCATCACAAAGTTTGCAAAAGTTTATGCACCTCAGCTCCAGCTTACCCTTGACCTGTAGTATGTAGGATAGATGTATGAGCGTTAGAGCTTTAATGGAGGTTATCAGTTCTGGGTTTTGGTGCCGGAACGAGCTTTCATTGTGAACTGCAACTGAAACTCAAACCTTGGACTTTCTCCTTCTTCCCATCTCATTCACCCATCAAAACTACTGTGGAAAAATGTATACAACAGAACCATTTGCCAAAATGTCACTTGATCAGTGTTTTCTCAAGGCCTTCCCCAGCACTTCTAACACACCGGAACAGCTACGATAAATGTGTTAAGTTGACAGATAGCAGAAAAGAGATTTACACTGCTTGGAAACCTGTGAAGCTTTGCATTGTGGTTCTACCAAGCACTGTCACACCAAGCACCCTGACATCACTGGAAAAATACAAAAACATGACAGCTGTTTCAACTTTATAATAGAAGTAGAGCTTTCCAAGTTGGAAGATGTGCGAGTGCGTGCAAAAGACAAGAGCAATTCGAGCAATTAATGAATTTGCCATCTGAGTTTGAACAGGCTGTTAAGTGTAATGTCTGTCTGGCTTGAAAGCAAATGCAGAACTGAGTTTGAAATTGTATTTTCCCTTCATGCATATATAAAAAGATAACCAAGTGGACGTAATGATTTACAAAGCTCCCTCTTGACTGTACATAGCCAACATTTTCTTTCCCCACATGACAACATCTACTTGCAGAATGCAATTAAGTGAAGACAAGGGAAAAAAAAAAATCTACAATAAAACTGCCTAGTTTGAATTGAAGACTCAGAAAGTAAAAATAGTCAATTGAGAGTAAAATACTTACATACTGATTTTCAAAGAAAATCTCTCTATAGATTAATGGTTTTTTTTTCCAAGCCAGCACTCAACAAGAGTGCGTTTATTAAATCTTATAACTGCAAGGATACATAACTATTTTCTTTAGCTTGAAGCATCAGTGAACAGAGAACGAAGTAAAGGGAGAAACAAATGGTACTGCAGCAAATTTGGATGAGGTGGTTCCAGGAAAAAGTAATGTAACACACACATACCTGCCAGTAGTCCTATGAGAAGCATTACAACCCATCCTGACCAGGCATCCAGCAAACTCTTGATGAATTCCCATATGGATTCCTTACTTTTGCTTGTAATCTGAAACGATATGTACACTGAGTTGTGTTTTTGATTCAGGCTAATGCAATTTTAGTGCATCGTGGCAAAACAAACAAACAAAAAAGTTAATCCAGGTTAAAAATTCTTCTACTCTCCACTCCCTCCAGTCCCAACCATACTTTAGAGATGCCCTGCTATAAATTGCAGAAAACACTTCCACATTTACAAACTCAGGATACATCAAACCTATATTTTTATAAGTTCTCCTCAAATGATACTGCAAAGTAGGAATTAAGGGCATTGGAAAAGTGCTGCTTTTTCTCTCAGCTGAGATGGCCATAACTCAGGGTCTGTGACACACCAAGTCCAGCTGCCATTACCTTCCTATGGCGGTCAGTGTCACGTGATTTCTCTCGCAGCCAGTCAATAGTGTGGAAATCTTCATAAGTCCCAACGTCAGGAAAAGGCTCATCCAGAAAATCCATCAGGTTGCCAGAACCATTCATTTCTCCTGCATTAACCATATTAGGGTCTGTATATAGAGGGGAAAACAAGTTTTTCAGTAAACTCATGCAGCTTTTCCAGACATATCAGAACCAAGTTTTCCAAAATCTTTCCACAAACTCAAGAAAACATGGCTCAGCAATTCTAGTGGGCACTTACTGAAGTCTATGCATTACCACTAGGAAAAGTATACTGCTGAAGACTACTTTAAGAACTTGGCAAACTTCTAAAATCCAAGTGTAGAAATACCACCTTTTTTTGCAAATAGTGCCCCAAAACCCAGGATGGTTCTGTTTGTTCTGCAAAGTTAAATGCTTATCACATTCTGGAAGAAGTGCCCTACCTGCGGTGAGGTTACTGAGAAGACAAAGTTACTAGCTCAGAAGACAAACGATAATGCACTAAAATTAACCACTTATCATTCAGCTGGATTTTCAGACTACAGAAATGAAAGCAGAGAACCATCCATGCCCATTGTCCTGAAGCCTCGGAAACTACGCCTACTTCAGGTAGGTGTAGTTGACACCGCCTCCCATAGCACTGTCCTGGAGAATGTGGCAGCATACAGCTTGGATAGTTGTACTCTTCACTGACTAAAGACTGGTTGGATGACTGGCACAGTGAGAGGTGAATGGAGCTCAATCCAGATGGTGACAGGTCATGAGCAGTGTTCTTCAGGGGTCAATACTGGGACCTGTCCTGTTTAGTATCTTTATTGACAAACTGGACAAGGGCATTGGGTGCATTCTCAGTATGTTCCCAGGCAACACCAAGGTGGGAGGAAGTGCCGATCTGCCTGGGGTAGGAAGGCCCTACAGAGGGATGTGGGTTGGTAGGATTGCTGGGCTGAGGTCAATTGTATGAGGTACAACAAGACAAAGTGCCAAGATTACGCCTTGAGAACTGTGTTCATTTTTGGGCCCCTCACTACAGGAAAGACATTGACACCCCAGAGTACGTCCAGAGAAGGGCAATGCAGCCCTTGGGATCGATTGTTCAGCCTGGAGAAGAGGAGGCTTAGCAGATATGTTATTGCTCTACAGTGAGGTTATAGCAAGAAAAGGAGGTTATAGCAAGGTGGGGTTTGGCCTCTTCTCCCAGGTAATGTGTAATCTCCAGTGATAGGATGGGAGGTAATGGAATATTAGGAAAAATTCTTCTCAGAAAGAATGGTGAGGCAGTGGCACGGGCTGCCTAGGGTGGTGGTGGAGTCACCATCCCTGGAGGTGTTCAAGAAATGTGCGGATGTGGCACTGAGGGATGTGTGGTGAGTGGGTATGGTGGGGAGGGAATCACAACTGGACTCGTTGATTGTAGAGATTTTTTCCAACCTTAGTGATTCTATGAGATCCTCATCGGCACAGAATGAAGTTGCCTTGTAACTACTGTACCTCTCTTTCCCACTGAGACCTCAGAAACCTTTGGCTATACACAAGAAGGACTGCCTCCTTTACAGGGTCAAGTCCCAAAGCATCAGGATACAGAAAAGGCTGACACCATTCCCAACGTAAGGAACCTTTAGTTAGCAAGAGAGTCTTAAATAAGTATTTTAGGCACACAGGATTCAACCAACTTAATTTCATCCATCCAAAAGTTTGGTGTCTGGACCTAAGAACTACCTAGGCTGCCTCTGGAGACAGAGAAGGATGTGTTACTCTAAAGAGTGATATAATGTCATCCATCCTAAAATAGGTGTCTCGGTAATACAGTCTCCTGGAGAGTACCTACAATTTGCAACCTGAAAAGGTAAACATAAAAACAATAATAATAAAATAATGCAAAACAGCAACAGTGTATTACACTACTGTCACCTCACAAGGAAAAAAAAACAACACACACACAAGAAAATATACCAGAAAACTAGTGACAGATGCAGAATTTGAGTCTTAAAGAACTGATTCTGCAGGGCCAGTAATCCCTTGACAGACACACAGTAATTTTTGCAGGCTATGGATGAGGCTAGTGCAGCACTACAAACTGCAATCTACATTCCTCCTTCAGAAATGGAGGCAGAGATTTCATGTGCAGAATTTAGATCTTTGAAGCAGTGAGGAAATCTCTCAATTCTGTTATTAGAACAGGGAAAAACATGGCAGATGAGCTTTAAATCATTCATTTACTCTGCTGCTGAGCTCAGCCTGCTTTATTTACTGCCCTTTTTCCACACATTACCCCTTTTCAACTGTTTCTTTGAATCCCATCCATTTAATCTTTTGCCCCAGTGTTGACTCCAGGGATATAACAAGCATGAATAGTCAGCTCCACCAGTGTGTCTTTGCACCACTGAGTAGGAGGACTTTTTGGACTACACAGCCTATGTGCTCAGTCCAAGCAGCTGAGAAAAACATTATCTTACAGGCAAACAGCAGATCACCATTATAACTCTGTAGAAGTCCTTTTAAGTGTGCAAACTGAGAATCAAGCAGGGCGGTCTCAGTCTGGGGAAGGTGGCCAAATGCAGAGCAGGTGTCCCATGTGGTGCTGCAGAGCACAAATAAGGAGCCACAAGATGGAAGTGGTTAAAAAGAGGAGTGACAGTTGAAAATAGCAGTATTTAGCACAGCAGATGAGAGCACGCTCCTGCACTAGTGAGAAAAATGAGAGTCCGAAGGTAGGATGCTGCAGCTGAGACCAAGGAGTTGAAGCTGCAAGTAGTCTCAGGTTCAGCATCTTGTAAACCATGGCTGGGGGCTGAAGTGGGAATGAAGCTGGAACGAAGAGAAAGAATCAGACAGTGCTATTATTTTGTAGCTCACAGATCATGTCCTTCAACCTACTCTTCCTATACAGTGAAGAAGTACCTGTAGGGAACATGCAGTCCAGACTGCTTGCCTGAACCCAGGGAATCCTGCTGCTTTATAAAAAATGTCTGGAAATTATTGTGTTGAAAGAGTTGGCAAGTTCTCCTTAATGCTACAAGAAACTTACCCAGTATGCTAGTTATATCACATAAAAAATAGCTTCTAAAGTATGCTGTCAGTGCCCAGCACATGACAGTTTTGTGATGGATAATACCAGGCCAGACCACAGGTACGTGAGTAATTACAATCTTAGCCTGAATCTAGGCCAAACATACGTGCTGTGCAGCATGTCCAGGGACACAAGGAAGTGCTGGAGACTGCAGGGCCATGGGAGACTCAGAAAACAAACTTTGAACTCTAGGTAGCGTTCCAGTATCTAGAAACTGCAGCTAGATGGATGATTACCTGCCTGAAACTCCATGCCAGCTGCCATGCTTTTGAATGCGGAGATGTGATGTCAGATTAGACAAAATCCAATTCAGGCTCCAACACTTTTAATTGAGTTGCACAGAGATCCCACGATTCTTACATGCTGGCACCATTAAGTACCACTGTCTTTCTCCTTATTGGCAATTATTTCTCTCACCTTTCTGAGGCATCTGAAACAGTCTCCAAAGCTTCTTTCAGGATGGGTTAACTTGTCCTCTAGAGGTTCTTGCAGAGATCTTTCCATTCCTGCTAGCAAAACTACAGCCTTAGACTATCAATTTAATTATGGATATTTTAATCTAATACACAAATTAAGGGCAAGTGAATGTCATCCAAACATAGACCACAGCCAGCTGCACAGTAGCAATCCACTCTAATGACAGCAAAAGTACAAATACTCAGAACGTGTGTTGTCTCATCTGGCATCACAAATCTGCACGATACTCTGGACACTGGAATCCAAACTCCTTTTGCAGCTGATGAAAGAGAAATGCTATTCAGAGGCAACTTATCTCACATATTTGAGACATTCACATTATTATGAGATGATAGATTGTTCCCTGTGACCGACAGTTTCTGTTCACAGATCACAGAGACATCAGAAGCAGCCATTCTTGCCTCATTAATTCAGAAGAAAACATTGCAATATCATTGCATACAGAATTAGTAACAAATGCAACTCTTAGCCACTCCTAATACCCCAAAATTTGGATACTCCAGCAAAACCTATATACACTGAAAAGTGTTAAACGTAGTTATGTTGCTGAGTGACTCTTGGATATGCATGTTGTCCCTTTGTAGTTCCACGTCCCAGATGTCGTTGCTGTTCTTTCAACTACTTTTCCAGATGCTGATGAAACAATTTGTGCAGCAGCAAATGCTTCCTGCTTAGTCCCCTATTCTTTTCTAATAATTCCTGGCATTCATTTTGCTTAGGACATGCATCCAAAATTTTCCCTGAGCAATCTGCTGTAGCTCCAAATGTATTCCAGGAGAGGCAGAAGCCCATCATTCTGTGGGATCTTAGGGTCATTATCCCCATCATTTTGTCTTTATTGACCTTGAATCACATCTGCTACTTCATTCCCTGTGATTCAGCACAGAAAGAATCTTCTTCAGCTCTTTATCACTGAATAGCTTAATATGTCTACAACTGGAAGTTTTAATCAATATTCTGCTCTGTCAACAGTAAACTGATTCTTGATAAAAGCTGTATGAAGAAAAATCTGTTGGAACCAATAAACTTGCAAAGTGTTGCACGAGAGGAGATGGAGGCAAGGATCAAAAGTACAGCTCAACTATTAGTCCATAGGACTTGATGTTGGTATAAAACCAGATAATTTTTGAGAAATATCTGAAAGATCCCATATAAAGAAAGCAATACATGCATTAGTGCAGACAGTTTGCAGGAGCCACGGTGAGCTGGCTGGTGGGCTGGGACGTGTCCAGGAGCACAACAGGTACCATATAGATCGTAAGCATAGGTCTCTTCTATTACATTTACTCCTTTTTATTATTTTTTATTTTTATTTTTTCAGTAGTACTGTCATACGTAAGGTCATGCTTTTTTTCTGCAGGTCCCATAGTGAGTAAAGTCATCTTGTGATTCAAATCAGCTGTACGATACACAGTAGCTTGGAGCTGAGTTTTATGGAAAAGTGATAAATTACGTTTATAATAGAAATGCTGACAACCTCTGAACTAAATGTAAAAGCTGCAGCTAGAAGGGGCTGTATCAGTGAACTGACATTGTAGGTATTACATTAACTGACTGTTTTGATCTGAAATACACTTGACA